TTCTTACATAGGCATAAAAACATGCCTATTAAGAGCCCCCTTTCACAATTTTGTGGCCTTTAATTTAATTGAGAATCGTTACTTTGGATCGTCCTTATCTTCAATATAAAATAATTTTGAAAGTTTATCTCTCTCGTCCCCCTCTGAAGGTTTTAGTGATCTACATGAGGGGGTCCAAGTATTTTTGCAGTATACTCAATAACCATGTTCCATTTGATCTTCCTCCTTATCTTCTCCTTTCTTTTTTGTTTGTTTTTTCACCTTTATAATACGTGTAGTTTTAGAATTAGGTCCTTTTCTTTATAGTTTTTTTCGATGCTATAAGATCTCATTTTTAATTTTATGATTTAATAACTTTTTAGGCACTACCCTTCGGGACTCTTATCTACTCTTTTCACTTTTAATGATGATTAAATCATTAGTTTGTTCAACTTTTTTGGTTTACTTAGTTTCGTTGAAATTATGTTCAGGAGGTTTTGTATTTGTTTCATGGGGGGGTTCCTTTCCCCAGTAAAGAAGTTACTGTTACTAGGGTAGGACTAGGTACTTTAGTTAGCCTCCTGCTACCTTACAAGGACTCTAGTTTTTGTTTGGGGGGCATGGTCCCCCCCCCAAAACTTATTTTCTTATATGCTTGTTGGGGATAAGTAACCAGATTGGCTTCCCCTCATAATACATAGGGGTCTTTGTTTAAAAAATAAAATAAAATAAAATTGTTTGGCTCTGTGTCCAAAGATATCATTATCAAAAAGGAAGAATTTAGAAAGGGCAGAAAAACAAAGATGAAGCAATGACTATTGTGGTCTCGATGATGACTTGGGGATGACGATCCCTATCCAGTTTTGTACATCTGACCGTCATGTGTCTTCGCTGTCAAGTAGTTTCTTCCACAGCCTCAATGATGAAGGGTGGGGGGAGAGAATAAGCGGTAACAACTATTGTCATTTCACCAAATCAACCCTTAACAGTCAATAAGACAAGGTAAAAAAAAAAAAGTAATAAAAGTTCTAAATATAAAGAAAGGAAAACAAAAATAAACAAAAAAACAAAAAGTTTGAGAGAATAACAAATAAATGTCCATAAAGTGTTGAAATATAACCCTGAGTTGAAATCCTGTTGGACCTTTACGAATGGGATAAATCATTCTGAATTACCTAAGGTCAGTCCGATGGATGAAGATATTCAAAGATTGTTATTATTTTTTCATAAAATAAAATAAAATATAAGGTCGTTGCGATGACTAAATCACGAACGAAAAGGGTGAGGATATTATCAATAACTTATACGTGGAGTCATCAAGCGAGGAAATATGTAAAAATATGGATGACCAAAATTTTTCATCCATCTATTTGCTACCCATGTATATATTCAACAATCAATCAATCAATCAGTCAATTTTTTGTCTCCAAATGAATCAGTGAATTATGATAAAGCTGATAATGAAGATGATGACATGTGCGTGTTGTCTTCGTATCACTCTAAGCCCGAATCTAGTTTTTGTCTGTCACCAACCTCATTAACAGACAACCTCAAACACAAACAATGACACAAAAATCAATCGAGCTTCATGACGACAATGATGCCAATATGCTAAGCCGAAAATTAAGATGAAACGATTTTCACCTTTGAAGTAACAGAAGCAAATCCCAGGGTTCGATCCCTATAACCTTTCCTCACTTGTGTACAGTAGTATCAAGTTAACCCTTGTGTGTTTTGAACCCGTGACCTGTGTTTTGATAGCTGACTGTTGTCTGTCATAGATCTATGTCGGTATCAGGTTTTGAACCGTAGGTCCGTCAAGTAGGGGTCATCGATGTATAGAGGTCATAAATGTATAAAGGTCATAGATGTATAGAGGTTATAGATGTTGCAACTCTGAAAGGTCAAGGTCGTAGATGCTACAGTCCGGAAAGGTCAAGGTCGTAGCTACTATAGTTCAAAAAAAACAAGTCCACAAACTTTCGGAAGGTCCGGAAGTGACCTTTTGAGTGTTGTTCACGTTAGACCAGAGGCAAGTGGGCAAGTGGGTAATCCAACTTTGCTTAGTCAGCGGTACCCAGTCCCAGTCTCACTTTGTCCAGTCAGCAAGTGCCATATGGGACTGTTTGTACTATGGGCCGGTGGAAAAGGGGCAGACCAGTAACCAAAAAAAGTATAAATCAAGAGGTAGCGTCCAACTATTCACTCATTTTCTGTGTGAGCCATGCGGAAACGCTGCCCAAGCGTCTTGTGTGAGTTGATCTGCAGATGCCTGTAGTCGAAGTGAGCTGGAAGGAAGATAGAGCAACCATTGTTGGTTGTAGGGAGTAGTAGTCGGCGGCCATAGCTACCATAGCTAGCGATAGATAGTAGTGAGTGTGTGTGTGTGTGTGTGTGGTACAAAGTGGATGTGCGTGGGATATCCAAAAAGATTTAGTGTAGTGTGCGTGTGAACAACTGTTGTGGATACAATGTTGGACGTGAGGTGTGCGGGCGCTCAGGCACCATAGCCAATTCGAAGCGAGTTTGTATCCGAACTTTGTTCTCGGCTTGAATATCTTTGAGCTTTGTGTGGATGTCTAGCGCCAGTGTGGTTTGCCATCTGTGTGCATGCATGATGAACAAAGAAGAAGGCAAGTCTGATTGCGAAGGGGGAAAATTGAGCGAGAGCGGGGGAAGTAGGGAGCGTGATCAATCTGTTTCCCCCGTGAGTCGTCCAACAGATTCAATGGCCATAACAGTGATGAATCATTTTTGCATATCATTTTTTCATGTGTAACGATACAACGATACAAAGAGAAAAAAAAAGAGATTGGGGGGGGGGGGTAAAGAAGCTGAAGAGCTATAAACATTATGTAGTTTTAAGATACGACTACTAGTGAGAGCATAGGTGTTAACTTTTCACGGGGACTGAGAAAATCATTACATGTTGACGATATACATATAGTAGCTATGACCGTCAACAGTGTTCGAGGACTTTATGACACGGATCTATCGCCGCCTCGCCTCCATCAGACTCCTCTTCCCCCACTCTCTCTACCGATGAGGAAATTATGAGTTTTGCTACCAGCTCCTCTCTCTTGACACAGTTGTCGGAAACTCGTCGTAAAGAGTTGGTTCATCGATTATCGTGCAAGTTGCTGTTAATCGCCTCTGGTTCATGAATCCATCGTAGTTAATAAGTCTCCGAACTCGCAAATATTTAATCAACAATAGTGCTTGTTGAGGGTTGCACTCATGTGTTTTACATGCAACATCTTGTCAAGGAGTGTAAACCCTTCCTATGTACAGGACCATGAACAGGAGCATTGATCACTCAATCGGACGGTGAAGGATGCTCCTCGCTGTGCAAACAGTTTTAGGGAGAACACGTCCGAGATCGAAGACCTATGACATTGACTCGATAAGATGGATCGACGGTTGTTGGAGACGTACACTAAATACCACATCAGTAGAAAAATAAGATGGCTACTCGGCGATAGATGTGGCATCATGGAATGCAGGCGGGATCACGATAGCTTCTCAACCATGGGTGAGATCAATAAGGGGGGTTAATGAGGAAGATGGGATGAGCGGGGTCGGATCCTCGAAGCAGTAGATTGTTGGTGATGCAACCAGAAATAAGAGTGTTTCGCAAAACGAAGAAGTCGAGGAGGAGGAGGCGGAACAAGAAAAAACGACAGTTGAAGAAGAGGAGGAGGAGGAGCATGTGGAAAATGAGGAAGCAACAATTGAAGAAGAGGAGACAGATGTGAAAGAGGAAGGGGAGAGAGATGAAGGGTGCGACGAAAAAGATGGAGAAAAGCGCGAGTAGAAGAAAAAATAATATTTTGTAAACAAATTCGTGTAGTTTATGACGTAGATGAAAAAATCAGAAACGATGAAATTTCATTTGAATAAACACAAAAAACTTATTAACGAACGTACAACCAAAGCGGCTTCAGACCTGTACACTTGTCTCCCTGTTTAGTGCAACACATAAATAGAGTAGTTGTCACTGTAGCTCATTAGGTTTGAGTTGAGGATTGTATGGAAGAGGTTAAAGGTTCGAAAACTGATCACATCAAACAAAAGATATAGCAAGTGTTGGTTGTCTTACTTCCTAGTACGTGGTCATAAATATCTTAGTATAACGGAATGAGGGTCTCAAAGTATAAACTTTGGGTTCATGTGTAACAATTACTTGAGTACGAACTTATCATGGTACTGGAGCAAGCTTCAGGTATTATCTATGGATTCAATAGAGACTGATATGACAGTTCTTTTAGTACGACCTTGTCGGGTTACTTGAATGGGCTCTAGGTCGTGGATTTGGGGCTCCAGTTGTTGCTGACATAGAAGTTTACCTTAGTATAGACTTATCAGGGTACCGAAATGGGGGCCAGGTGCTAGTTGTGTGGTTGGTGTAACTGTCACCTGGGTGATTAACATTAGGGGAGGAAGGCGGGTAATTGACGGGAGGAAGGGTGGGTGCGGTCTTCCGAGGGGTTCATCCGAATAACTCAATGGGTGATTACCGAAGGTGACTGTCATATCTATAGAGCAGAGTAGAGTGGAGTAGAGAGGAGTGGAGTGGAGTGAATTGGAGGGGAGGCCCAAAACAAAAAGCGGGCTGCCCATTCAATTTATCAACAGCGGACTTCCCCCGCTTGGCAACCACGTTACCCGGCACTTCTTAGGTTTCAAGTGGGGGAAGGTGCTGGTGGTTTATATAAGAAAAAAAGGAAGAATTTTCAAGGGTAGCACTTGAGGTTCGAGTATTTTCAAGTGGTGTGGAACGAGGTTCCCAGTCCTCTCGATGTTCCGTTCCACTTCATGCGGCACGCTAGGCGGCCTATGTCCCATGTGCGCCTCTCTCTTCGACTATGTGGGGAGGGCAGTCCGTCGGCTCCTGGCCTACACCCGCCAGGGTTGATCTGAGTGTCTGACAGAGTGACCGGCACCGCTCGAAGGGCGACATACCGGACGTTCAGATTGCGCTAAAGATGACCCGAGAGTGAAATGCTGACACGTAACATTCGCCGTGTGAAAGAGCTTAGTGGGTCGACTGGAATCGGAAGATTTTATTTTATTTCGGCCTTACCTCTTTGTTCCTTTTTTGAAATTCTGTGCTGGGTTCTTTTTCCTTGCGTGTCGGCGCGTTGTGGAAACGCAAGGCGCATTTGTTCCCGCCATCACAGAAGTGTATCCTGTCACCCTGTCCTTCTTTCGAGTCAATACCTGACCTGTCACCCTGTCCTTCTTTCGAGTCAATACCTGAAGTGGGAGGAGGGTCGTCTTGTTGTTTGCGTTCGACTGTGTTTCGAATTTCGCGTTCATCGCCACACGTGTTAGCCTTTGCTGTCCCGGAGTAGGTGTCTATCACGCGCTTTTTCGTGCCCGCGCCGATCTTGAATCTCCGCCGGTGTGTTGTTGCCGTGATAGAATCGTCTGCGGTGGTGATAATCTTGTGCCGCGGTGGTAATCTTGTACTGTTTTTGAATGTGTTCTTGCATGTAGTGTGTGCCGGGTGCAGGCCGTAGGCAGTCGACTGGCCGGCTAGTTTTCTGGCTAGCTAGCTGGTTGGAACAGCTCATCTTGTAGTTATGGCGGACGAAACACAGGTGCTGGTGACTGCCCATCTAGAGGCAACGGCGGCTTCGCTGATGAACGAGAACAACAAGCGCCGGCTCGACGAATCGGGGACGGACAATCTTCCTTCTACCACTCCCGTGGTGGATGGGCACTTGTATAACAACGTAGCGCCTCCGGCGCTGTCGGACTTCGACCTCGCGAAGCAGAAGGCGGCGGAGATCGCCGCGCGTTTGTGTGGTGATGCTAGTGTGAAACGGGCGAGAACGGAGGAGGAGAGGGATGGCAACCAGGTGACCAATTCGACAATGACCAACGGTCCGGAATCTACAGTGTCGACATATGGTAGAGGTAAGCAAATTCAAGAAAGTGAACACGATCATAGGGACTGGGGACTGCTAAGAGGATGAATGTCTTCACGTTTCGTATGTTATCGTTTCGCTCTTCTCAGTCCTTCTTTGGTATTTTTTCCCCTTTCTCTGCAACCCTTCTGCACCCTGAAGGCGTCTCCTCTGGGAAGAGAAATTCCCGCCTCTTTCCGTGTACTCCATTCCGTACTTCTGTACCCTAAAGGCCTCCTCATCTTTCCGGGCTTGAACCCTCGCTCGTCCCTCCGCTATTTTGTTTCTCGCCCCGTTTGTGTTCTTCTGCCTCTTGCGTGTTTTCTCCTCTCTCCTTTCCTCTTTTCCTTGGCGGTACATACCATTCCCTTTTCTCTCCCCCTCGCTTTCTCTGTCGTTTCTCGGAATTTTCGCGACTGTTTCATTTTCTGTAATTTATTGAGCCCTAACTTAAGGTTGTTGTCCTGTTTCCCTTGCCTACCTCCCTGCGGTCGCTTTCCAACCTCCCTCGCTCCTTCATCGTTATTTGCTAAGCCTTCCATCCTTGTCCTCTAGCGTATCACGTCTGTGTTGTCAACGAATTCCTTCACCCTTTGTTCATCCCTGTCTCCACGTTTTTTTTCAGCTCGCGGTCGTGAGCGTTTTTAGCCAATTCTTTCGCTTTTCTTGGCCTGTCCAATTCCGTTCTCCCTTGTCCCCTTTCTGCATCTTTGACTCTCCGTTTCTTTCTCCTCCACTCTCCTCTTCCTCCCACCGCCCTTTCGGTTTATCTTCCTCATTATCCCCGTCCCCCTGTTTGTTCCTTCGTTAGTAATAAAGGACCGTTCCTTGTTTACATGTATAATCTTTGACTCCCCGTTTCTTCCTCCACACTCCTTCCTGGCGCCCTTTTGGTTTATCTTCCTCATTATCTCCGCACGCCCTTTTGGTTTATCTTCCTCATTATCTCCGTCCCCCTGTTTGTTCCTTCGATTCAGTAATGGAGGAGCGTTCCCTTTTGACCACGTGTATAATGAAGAAGCGTTCCCGGTTTGTCGTGAATTCGATTGTGTCGTTTTAAGGGCGATTCTGAACGTTTATCGTCTCTAAGAAGGTTCTGTCTGTCTCGTATTCTGTGGGTGCGGTCTCTCACGCGGGGTGTTCGTTTTGGCTTTTTCGTTTCGCCTTTGTTCTCTCTTCACATCAGGTATTTGTTATAATCATTTTCGATTACAACTTGCACTCTTGTGTGTGCCTTTTCCCGATGTTCGTTTTACCGGCCAATTCATGATACTCTGCATGTCCCCGGGGTATGTCATGCCCTCTCTCTCTCCACGTGTTTCGTCAGTCTACGTGGCAACGCAGCAGTCAGTTCCGCCAGTTGCACTACCCCTCTGCTGTGAGATCTATCTATGATTCTGTGCGTTGTTCTTGGTGCTTTACTCCGGTCGTCGCCGTTTACTTTTGCATCTAATGAGGGCGCCGTCTAGGCATTCTGTCAACGCGTCCTCATGCCGTCATTCATGTCGCTGTGCTCTGCTTTCTTTTGTCTTTATGTGCTCTGAATGACTGCTTTCTTTCTTACAGCCTCTCCTTTCCTCTTCCTCTCTACCTCTCTACTGGTTGGGCTGCTCTCCCTTTCATTTGTCTAAACCTTGTCCAGGTCTTCCACTCCCTGAGAGGTCCTGTTTCCTGCATCGTGTCTGACTGAAGATCCTGTGCCGTATTTCGTTTCTCTGTTGTGTTAGAAATGTCACTCGCCGTTGTAATCGTAGGGTTGTTCATCTTCCTCTACATTCGCTGTCTGCTTATTTTTCCATTATGTCTCGTGTTTTGAAATGTCTTTCACCGTTGTAATCGTGAGGTTGTTTATCTTCCTCTACCTCCGCTGTCTGCTTCGTTTCCCAGTTCCCTTCTTTCGCTGCCGATGCCGTTGTCCTTTGTACGTACGAGGTTCCGTCAAATGTCTCCTCAACGGCCAACCACCCCCCTTCTGCCCTCAAATCTACCGAGAGCTTGGCTTGCCGCTTCCAGTCGCTTTTCTCCGCATCTTGATGACCTGGCGTTCTATTCGCGGGGGAAGACGACCACCCCCCTTCTTCCCTCAAATCTACCGAGAGCTTGGCTTGCCGCTTCCAGTCGCTTTTCTCCGCATCTTTATGACCTGGCGTTCTATTCGCGGGGGAAGACGACCACCCCCCTTCTGCCCTCAAATCTACCGAGAGCTTGGCTTGCCCCTTCCAGTCGCTTTTCTCCGTATCTTTATGACCTGGCGTTCTATTCGCGGGGGAAGACGGCGGTGTAAATGATAGAGGGCGCGCCGTCTGATTTCGGGAAGTGCCGGCCGAAGATTGGAAATCTGGTAAGAGAACGGAATGTTTATGTTAAGTATTGGAACCTTGCGCACTCGAGATCTTACACTTTCTGTCGCGTTTTATAGAGCTCTGTGTACCTTTGCCGTTTGAAAGAGCTCTCTATATAACCTTCCATTTTTATCATCCGTTTTTATAATCCGTTTTTATCATCCGTTTTTATCAATGTTGTGTCATATAAGCCGTCATCAAATGCGAGATTGAGGTGGGGTGAGTCAATCATCGCTGATTGCTCGCGGAGGTGAAAGTTGCCTTAGTTCTGCTCTAGGGTTTGTTACATTACGTGACTTTTTGATTTTTGATGCGAGGCTGCAAGTTCCAAAAAACTCACTGGGACGCGTCAGCTGCCGTACCTCTTGACTTACTGCTGATCTGACATCGCTTATATAATTTTAAGATGCAGGATGAGCTTTGGAATGCTACTCTTATGATGATTACGTACGACTTTTTGTTCTGCAGCTCTCCTTCCTCCCCCTCCCAAATTTCCTGTTCCTTTTTTGACCCCTTGACACGATGGCAGTTAACCCTATCATCAGTTTTTATTTTCTTACAGAAGCTCCCTTCCGGTTCTCTCGCTACTTTGCTCTCCAAGTTCACCGTGCTCAGTAAGCCGATCCTTAGCAGTCCCTCCCGTCGGCACTCTCGTACCCCGGTGCTGATTCTTTGTCTTGTATGTCATCCATCCTCTGCATTCTAGCGCTCGCACTTATACGTTTCTCTCTTCCTTTGCGCGGCACTTTCGTGCCTTTTTCTAATTCGTGTTCTCTCTCCTGCTCTTTCCTTCGTCCAGTTATCGTTCACATTTCTGTTTCTCCCTTACGATTGTGCGTTGTTTCATCCTCATTTCTCCCCCTCTTTCCTTCGTCCAGTTATCGTTCACATTTCTGTTTCTCCCTTCCGATTGTGCGCGTTTCATCCCCATTTCTCTCTTATTGTGTTCGTCTTCCTCGACTCCCTGCTTCCTCTTTCTTCTTAGCAGCCCATGTGTTCTCGCTGCGTGCTCTACCGAGAATCGTATTGTCTTTGTCGCATGTATCAACTCTCTTTCTCTGCCTCGTCTCTTTGTTGTCGTACGAGTACCGCTCTGTCACGCTGTGCAGTCCATCTGCTTCGTTGGTTCTGACCTGTATTTCCCAATCCCGTTAGTACACTGCTGTGCGTGTTTCCGTACCTTTGCCGAGTTGCGTGTAACCATTGTCCCATGCTCCTCACCTGCGTTTTGCCTGTATTTCAGACTCAGATCGGCGCGCTCTGGCATCTTCCGTGTCTTATCGATTAGGACTACGAGTCCTGACCCTCACCCATTTCAACGACGTCTATCGATATCTTCTTCCTCCACTCTGGAGCTTTTAATCCATCATCTCTTGATATCTTCTTTCTCCACTCTGGAGGTTTAATTCCATCTCTTGATATTTTTTCGCTACTACCCCGAGCATACAATCCTGATTGCGACTGTATCAAACCGGAAAGATAGCGTGTGTGCATTCATGATTGGGGGAGTTGTGTCTGGGGAAAACGGTGGAAAGATAGCGTGTGTGCATTCATGATTGGGGGGGGTTTGTCTGGGGAAAACGGTGGTTATCTGAGGGAAGGCCTCTTACAAATTACTTCCTCTTAACGCGTCTTTCTACCGTGAGTTTGGTCTTCCAAGCTGTGTTTGGAAATTCTTTTGCTTAGCTTCATATGCCCTATAGGCAGTCGATTTCGGAACGTCTAGCCATGTTTGCTGTGGATTCTATAAAGCCGTAGAACGAGTTTTCATGTTTGGGGTTTTGGTCTTTCAAGCTTTGTATGGAAATTCTTTCTCGCAGCTTCTTATGCCCCCAATTCACAGTTTTATTCAGTCTTATTTCGGAAGAATCGCACTGCTAGATTCCACATGTGTAATTTCACCTCTCGTATGGCATTCCAAGTTTGGAAGGTAGTAAAAGGAACTGCCTTGTCGAAACTGAGGTCTTCGAACAGTGTCCTCGTCTCCAGCGCACTTCACTAGTTGTCATGATACTTGGGTGTGCGGTTTTTCGTTTTGGCGTCATTGAGGTCGGATGGACGAAGCAGTAGGTGTTGTGGGGATGTTCCTTGAAAAGCGGCTCCGAGCAGTCGAAGCAAGGAGGCAGCTCTGTTTCTTGTGGGGTTTTCATGTAAATCAGTGTTCTCTTTTACCCATTATTCCTCTTTAGTCATTCTGCGTTCTAACGGTAAATGCAGTCGGGGAATTGATGTACGTTAATATAGTCTAGGGTAATGGAGCGGTTTACTTTAATGAACATCAGCTCCTCGTGCAGTAAAGGCAGTCGAAGCGAAGTGTTGTTTGCGTGGGCATCGGTGGCCGCGGCATGGGAGGAAGTCTGATAGCAAGGCAACGGATACCGAGAGAAAAGAAGTGTCAGCGTTTTCTTGGATTTATCCGAGGGAAGGATGGAGGCTGCGGAGGTGGCCAATGGAGGCTGCAGAAACTGAGGGAAAGATGGACGAAGAGGGAGGCGACGTGTAAGGAGGGCAGCTATGAAGGTGGCAGCAAGTAATCGGAGGATCGAAGAGGAGGGGAGGTGTAATGGTGATGAGAGGTGGAGGGATCCAATGAGGCTGATGAGTTGTAAGTAGGGGAGGGGCGAAGACGGCAACAACCAAGGGTCGGATAATGGTGATGAGAGGTGGAGGGAGCCGATGAGGCTGATGAGTTGTAAGTAGGGGAGGGGCGAAGACGGCAACAACTAAGGGTCGGATAGCCGAGGAGGAAGTGGGAGTGTAAGGGGTGCAAGGGGAGCTGTAAGGGTGATGATAGCCATCTGCTGACCAGCCTGTTACGAGTGTCGTCTTTTGTGCAAGGGGTGCAAGAGTAGCTGTAAGGATGGTGATGGCCATCTGCTGACCAGCCTGTTATGAGTGTCCGTCTTTTGTGAGACGAGCACTAGGCTTTTAGGCCGACCTTACGCTTTGACAAAAGAGTTCTCGTCTTTCGTAGATAACGGCGTCTTCGCCGTGTGCTAGATGGAATTGACCAATGTCTGTCTGTGATATTTGTGTTGTGTCGTATACAACCTGGGCAGCTCATATGATGAAAACGGTAGAAGTGCACCAATGTGGAAATCTGTTAACGAGTAGATAGAGTGACTGATTGCATTTTCGTTGGATGAAGCGAAGAATAAGCGATCGATAAGTGGTGGTTTCAGCAGTGAATGACTAAGTCATGAGGTGATGGACTGATTACACGGCTGATTGAAGTCCTGATCGGCTCAGAGGACCGCTACTGTCCCTTCCCCGGGAGAACGCATGATCGTTGTCGTTGTATCTGCACCGACAATTGTCCCAAGTACGGCTATAATGACCATGCATTCTATTCGGAGGAAGATGGTAACCAGAGGATTGAATGACCGATTCCGTGAAAAGATGGTTGGAACTTGACAAGATGTGAGAATTACAGTCTTCCCCCGAATACAACGTACGGTCATTATAGCTGAATTTGGGGTATCTTTCAGTCTAAATACAACTATAATGACCGTACGTTGTATTTAGTGGAAGAAGCTAGCTCAGTTTTTGACGTCACGAAAGGTTGGCGGGAGGGGTTACGTAAACTTTAATGGATGGAATTTATCGGTACTCATTGGAAATCTGAGGTTGTCGTTTTGTGCGATTGATTGGTCGTCGCACGGGCGGCGATCGGTTTGTTGTTAGGAGCTTCCCCGTGTTGTGCTTGTGGTTTAAACAAAAAATTGTCAGGACTTGCCCGTGTTGTGCTTATTATGTGGTTTGAGCAAAACTTGTTAGGAGCTTGGCCGTGTTGTGCTTATTATGTGGTTTCATCAACATTTAATGTGCGTTGTGACGTTCTGCACGATGACAGAACCGAAGTTGGAAAAACCTGGAATCCAAGCGGCAAATGCTCAAGGACAAGTTGGTGATGTACTGGCGGCCTTTCAGCAACAAAATCAGCAGACGCAGCAGCAGTCCCAATCTCAGTCACAGCAACAGCCTCAAGCTCCTCTCTCACAGATCGTCCTTCCACCCTTCTTTGCTCAAGCTCTGTCTACACAAGTTAAGAGAATCGAAGTGCCAAATGTGAAGGTGCGTTTGCTTGTTCCATCTGAGTACCGTATGCTTTCTTTGTTTATGTCATTGAAACTTCACTGTGTGATCGCATAGATTAAGATCGGTTTTGCTTTTGTAGCAACTTCCACAGTACTTACAGTCGCAATGTCTCACTGTGATTCCTTCGCTGATCCGGAAGGCTCTTTGCAAGGATACAACAATCTCCCATCAAGGCATGAAAGAGCATACCGTCTTCTCCCGAATAGAACGTACGGTCCTTCCGAGCTGTATGTTGGGCAATTTTTAGTCTATAGACACGGGTAAATGACCGCACGCACGCTCTAGTCGGGGAGAGAAGATAGTGTGAATGCGTGCGGGCTTATCTATTCCTCTGCTTGCGACCAATTGTGTTTTGGGTTCTCTTTTGTTCATGCACGTTCTTTCTCTAGTTTTCTTTTATTTTCTTGCGTGCGGGGTTATTTATTCCTCTTTTGCGTTTCACTTCCCCCCCCCTCCTCTTGTTTGCTCTTATTTTCCTTCTCTCAGGTTTATTCGTACTTGTCGCACTTTCTGCACTCTCCGTTTCTGTTTTGCCTTGTTTGCGGCAGCGACTTGTTGTTGTTCTCCATCCCGTGTCGGCCATTTTCTCGCCTACTTTGGATCGCTTGTGCCTCTTCATCCTCCGTGCTTCACCCCCCCGCCCCCCGCTTCTCTTGTTTGTTCTTATTTTCCGTCTCTCAGGTTTATTCTTACTTGTCGCAATTTCTGCACTCTCCGTTTCTGTTTTGCCTTGCCTGCGGCAGCGAGTTGTTGTTGTTCTCCATCCCGTGTCGGCCATTTCCTCGCCTACTTTGGATCGCTTGTACCTCTTCATCCTCCGTGCTTCCTCATGTACCGTCTTCCTCCGAATAGAGCGTGCGGTCATGATCCCTGTACCGAGACTGAAAGTTGTCCCAAATACGGGCATAATGACCGAATTTTCGATCCGGGGAAGAAGGGAGTCGGACGTCCGTATGCCGCCCCCGGACTCTTGTTTGTGGAATGTGACTCTCCCCCAACAATGCTTCCTTTCCACTTTCCCTGATTGCCTTGGGATCTTCGTTGCCTTCAGTTCTTTTGGCTGCCTGAGCGGTCGCGTTCATCGCCCTCCCGTTCTTTCTTAACCTCCACCCCATGGTCATGTATTTCTCCACTTTGTACGGTTTCATCGTCTTTGTGATGTTATGGCAACCTTGTGCCTTTCCTATTTCAGCTACTCATGACCAGCTCTACGTTTCGTTCTCTCTCCTTTCTGGGTCGGTGCAGGTTGGTCTGGTGATCGGAAAAGGCGGTGAGACAATCAAATACCTTCAGACACAGTCTGGAGCGCGGATCCAAGTAACAAGGGATGCTGATGCAGATCCGAGGTCCAATGTACGGTCGATTGAACTGACGGGTACATTGGAATCTATCAATAGAGCAGAGCAGCTGATCAATGATGTCATTCGTGAGGTGAGCAGTGCGTGAAGACCAGTGTCCTGATTATGAATGTATACAAGCTATACTGCCGGTCATAGTCGTTCATGGTGAGGGCGGATTCAGGCCGATCAGAGTCAGTCATGGTCACCGTGGACTCGGTCCGTGGGAAAAGGAGGTGGTTATTGCCTATATGACGAAGCCCGCTGTTTTCCCTTGTGGCTACTTGGCAACGCTGGAGGGTAGGACGTTGCAGGTGAAATGTGTTGGCTTCGCTGGCTCTCTGCATTCCCTCTAGAACCCTGTCTTAGCTCTCTTTACCCTTCCTCTCAAAATGCTTTCCTCTTCTCCTCTACGCTTCGCCCTCCCACCCAGCCTGTGTAAACCTTAGCTGTCCGATATCCTTCGATTTGGAGGCGCTGTCCTTTCTACCCCACCCTACCCTAATGTACTGGAAACTTCCGACCGTTAGGGACATTGATGACCGGCAGCTCGAATGGCCTGAGCTTATTCAGGACATTCTGACGCTAGGACTTTTTTAGACGTATCTGAATGTAATTACTGCCGACTATGGATGATTACCCTTCAGTTTTGCACCCGTTAACCAGGGAACTGAAAGTGGGGGTCCCCGTTAAACACTCGTGTAATTGTGTGCAGAGCTGAGTCCAGAAAAGCCCCAGTGTGAGTATGTCCCCATCGGAAGTGTATGTCCCCGTCGGAGGAGCAAGGTCATTGCAAACGTTCTCCAGACCAGTGATGTTTCTCGCGCGTCTTGTTTTGGTAGCAACAGTTTCAGAGATAACGTGGACATCTGAAGTCGTGCAAGGCATGCGAAGGCTGCTCAACGACAAGCAGCACAACGCCCTACCTCCCCTTAATTTTGTAAAACCGCAAGGGATCATGCACATTATTCTGTGGGAAAGAAGCTGGCGCGCCGTTGTGCGCAGCCTGTTTGGGTCCCTTTTGGTGTTTCCATCTTGCCTGGACTCTTAGGATTTGCTTACTGACTTAATTTGCTTCTTCATGACAGCAGGCAGCCTCCGGAGGATCTGCGGTGGCGGTTGCTAAAGGATTGGCGGGAGTGACTGCAGGGGAGTCTGTTCAGATCAGGGTTCCAAATCGGAAGGTTGGTATTGCTCTTTTCCCTTTTCCGTGGGAATAAACAGGCATCGGTTTCTCTTGACACGAATTGCCGACTGCTGTATGTAACTAGCTGTGTCCACGTTTTTTCACTCTCTCTCACCGGGTCTTTTTTTCTTTCTTTCACTTTTTCCTGATGCAATACACTGACCTCCTCCCTCGCATCTTCAATGTTCCCATCATGAGCCTAACGCAGTTTTGTACTACAGCTAGATTTTGTGGGTGCTTGTGATGGCCACGAGCTCAACGCGCACTTGTGTGGAAGAGGAGGCAGGTTTCATGGCTGCCTCGATGTGGACATGAGGAACAAATCTTGTTGGGAGGTAGATAAGGAAACGCAAGGGCAGTCCGAACAATTTAGTGTTGTATGGACTAAAGATTGTATCATGCTGTCAAAATTGTCTTTTGCTTGTGTGATGCACGAAAGACATGGTCGTATGACGGTTTGCTGATAGGTACTGTCCTTGGTGCGGCATGCCTTGTTGGATGCATTTGCTTATGCAGGTTGGGCTTATTATTGGGAGATTGGGGGAAACAATCAAGAACTTGCAGAATCGCTCTGGAGCTCGTATTCAGGTAGGTCACATCTTCTTACCTCGAACGTGTTGGGCTGGTCTTATGCAATGATGCCTGAATGCGGTTTATGGTCCGTGAGTGCCAACTGAATGAGCATCACGCTCTGCTGCAATGGTGACTGCCATGCGAACTGAATGAGCAATTGACAATTTCCGATGTCTTTTGCGGGAATGGGTTCCACTGCCCCCATGCGGTTGGCGATCACTGGTTGCAGTTGTTGCTGTCAAGTCAGCTCCGTGAATGGATGGACACGGGATCCCTGTGGCTTTCTCTGATAATTTTTGCAAATTATGAAGGCGATGGTGTTTGTCTCTCAGGTCAGGAAACAGCACACAAGTTCTTAAAACGACAGGCCAGAGGTGGTTGAATGTGTACTGTCGTCGAAGGAAGGGTTCTTTGATTGCCTTCACATGTTCCATCACGATTTTAATGCTAATGAATGGGTGCAATGCAGAGCCATCCTTGTTTGGTCACCTATTGTAATGGACAGTTGATGCATTCCATGGCTCAGCACTTAAAATTTCTTTCCTGATGTTTCATTGCGTTGAGTTAAAAACGTGTTGCTCGTGTGATAGGTGGGGAATGAATGGAAACGACAGTGCTCAAAATTGCGTAATTGCCTTTGCCACTACGGATTACCCAGCTCTGGCATCGTTGAGTGCATGCCCGGTAGTAGGCGTGAGACCTGTGGTATGGTGTAGTACGTCCATCGTTGAATGAATGGGTGCAATGCAGAGCCATCCGTCCTTGTTTGGTCACCTATTGTAATGGACAGTTGATGCATTCCATGGCTCAGCACTTAAAATTTCTTTCCTGATGTCTCATTGCGTTGAGTTAAAAACGTGTTGCTCGTGTGATAGGTGGGGAATGAATGGAAACGACAGTGCTCAAAATTTCGTAATTGCCTTTGCCACTACGGATTACCCAGCTCTGGCATCGTTGAGTGCATGCCCGGTAGTAGGCGTGAGACCTGTGGTATGGTGTTGTACGTCCAGTTCAAGGAATGCATCTCCAGCAGGCGTGAAAAGGTGTTGCTTGTGTGATAGGTCCGAATGAATCGGAGTGACAGTGCTCGAAATGCACAACTGCCTTCGCCACTATGGATTATGCAGCTTTGGCATCGTGGAATGCATGCCCAGTAGGTGTGATACCTGTTGTATGATGTCGTATGTTCGGCTCATGGAATGCGTCTTCAGCAGGCATCAAACTTGTCATGTCATGTATATAGAGGCTTATGTAGCGTGGTCTATCTGTCTGCAGATTCAAAGTGATCGGGAAACAGAACCTGGTGCAACAGAGAGAATAGTTACGCTGTTTGGAAACAAGGCGCAGACGGACCTTGCAGAGGAGCTGATGAAAGAGGTCATAAGTGAGGTATGCAGGGTGTATATGATTTGTGTGCTGCTTTCTGTGTTCACCAGTTTTCTGGTGGAGACTTTGAGCAGGTTTGTGTATGCACGTCTTGTATTAGGGGGTTTACGCAAATCCTTGATGCTGTCTGTTGTTGGACAAACTGTGGATTTCCCCGGGTTCCACATTGATGCGACAATAAAAACAACAAGAAAACTAAATGCACAAGGAAGGGTGTTGTTTGGTAAACTGTGGTCACAATCCGCTTTGGCCCGAATGTGCTGTTGGTGTTTAAGCGGAAAATCATTTTGCCAAACATCAGTATGGGAATGCAGAAGGAAGGATGTGTTTTCTGTTGTCAGATGATCAGTGTTGAGGATGGGATACAGCTCCTCGTGAGATGTTGGTTTCTTTGGGTTGGTCCCCGTTTGCACGTATCTGTCTTCTGAATGCCGTTGATTGATGCTTTCTTCTGCTGTTTGTCTACTTGCCGTGATTGTTTCTCGTCTGCTGCTGCTGCTGCTCGGTTTCGACTATTTTCCATGTTGACACCTAGCGTTGATCGGTGTAGCAAGATTGTGACCATGGTATCTGTGTAGTGCTTGGGGGTTATCCCGTTGAGTTACTGCATTGACCAGGCAGGCACTCGTTAGAATTTCACTTTTCACTTTTTCAAACTTGTGTTGCTTTCGTTTGTTGAAGGAGACGGATTGGCGAGAGCACAGGTAGGAAAATGATGGATGGGCATAGAATCACCTGGGAGTTGTATGTGCTCTGTGAGCTGCATGACTTTATTATGCTCCGTGTTCGGCTGTTGGCTACGATTTGGTACACAGGGCAGGATAGGCTGGTTAGGAGAAGCTTTGAATGGATGCATTTGGTGTTCGCCTCAGAAAATGCGCGTTGCAATATTGTGTAATTGAACTGCATGTCGGGACTGCTGTACATAGCAACTCCTCCTTCCTCAATTGCGTGTAAGGAACTCGGAGCTGACTAGCGTGTTGTACTGCAAATCGGATGACTCCTCTTCCTCTCAACTGTCCTCTGGTCGCCCTTGCAGAGCAATGGTGGTACCTCCCGGGCAATCCGACTGGGTGATGATATCTTCGTTCCCACATTCATGCCCCTGCACTTGCTCTTGTCTTCTTCGCTTGAAATTGTAAAGAGGATGTACTGCCTTGCTGGGAATGATCATTCTGTGTGCCCTGCTGCAACATATGTTTTTGAATAAACATTCTACTGTAAAGAGGAGTGATGAGATTTCAATTGCGATGGTGATGCTCTTGACTGTCCTATCATTTTGCGAACTATTTGTTGCTGCCACGGTGTTCTTCCTTGTCAATCTTTTCTTATCCTCGGAATTGTGGGATTCAATTGCGATAGTGGTGCAAATTGATGCTTTCTTTTGGTTGCAACATGCCATCTGCATGCTCATTCATTGACTGTTCCAGGATATTATCCCGGAAATTGCTGCATTAGGAGAGCTCTAGCCATTGAGGCTGGGCTCATAACAAGCAAGGTGACCGGTGGTAGGTCCCTTCTTGTGTGCATGTTATTGTGATTGAAATTGATCGTCTTTGCTTTCCTTGTTATATCTATATCTTGTCATACTGCTGCGGCCATATTGAGGTTTTCCTTGTCAATCGACAAATGCCTAGTTGATGCTTTTGTCAGTGCATTTCTGCGTGTTGCTCATGTCCATTCTTTTGCTGCTATGTGATAATAACATGGTGTGCTGCACTCCTGTCTTTCAAGAGTGCTACCTGCTTGTGGTAATGCTTGCCCAGGGGCTTTTAGATCTTTCTAAATGTTCCTTCCCCCTCGCCCTTATGCTTTGCCCTCCTTTGCCCTTCTTTATCTCCTACAGTGCAATCCTTCCTCCCTTGTCTGCTGAAGATGGTGCGTTGCCGACGTTTCTCATTGAATTTGTTGAGAAGTATCTCTTGCTCTAGTATCATGTCGGATTCCTCTTGCCCGCACACGCTGATGTGGGTGGGTGGAGAATCCGTAGGCAAAGTTGTTGAGCTCGTCTCCAGAGGTACATGTATATTTTGTTTCGAGGTCTGGCAGATCTCGATGACTGGCTCCCTCTTTCTGGAAGGTGGGTCGCAGTACATGCCGGTGCTTGCAGCCGAGAGTGGCTAGCGTTGAATGCAGTAGCTCTGTGCTGTTCTTCTTGATCTGGTATGTCACTTCTCTTGGATTCTCATGTCGCATTTGAGACCCTGGTTTTACTGATTATGCCTTCTCTTTTGGACTTAGTTTCTTCCTCCTCTTGATGCTGTGGGCTGAGTGACTACGGGTTGCCGATCTTTTGCCGGCCTCTGGGTTTAACAGGCCGCTAGTCCTTACAGCAGCGAGGTGTCACTTCATGAACATGGTATGGTACCAAACAAGATTTTAGTGTGATTGCCCCTGGACACGATTCTGGCTGTCCCTTGACAGAGTACGTGCATGCATGCATGTTGGTGGGTAGCACCTTTCCCTGTGCCTGTTGCCTGCACCAGTGAATCCTGTGAAGGGAATACCTGTTTTGTGTGCGAAAGTCTCTCCATTGTTGCCGTTTGCTTGCTGTATTTGCTCCATAGCTGGACTTGTTAGGTTGACTGATGGATGGTTTGATGGGTGGATGCATGCCATTGACCTGGCTTCAAGGAAGTTTTTATGTGCTTAGTTCTTGCTAGGGTCTGAAGTCGTGTTCCGGATGCAACGTGTTCAGAGGTAGGTTTATTTCTTCATTAGTGCCTGGAAGCTTCACGGTATACCATCGTGCCGATGTTCCTTGGGCTTGTGTCATTGCATGCTTCTTAGTGCATTGAAGCCTCACGGTGTATCATCCTGCAATCGTCCCCAGGGCCTGTGTCTTTGCATGTTTCTGCTAAGATGCAGGGGGTGCCGGGGGGGGGGGGGGCGTCACATCATAATCTGTGAGCTTCTTGTCAGTGTCTCTCAAGGATGGCTGATGGTATTCGGAATCGCTTTCGGTGGTGTTCGAGGGGTTTTGTACGAAGACATTTGCCGTGTCGTCTGGTCTTTGAGCTTCTTGTCAGTCGCTCACGAGGATGGCTTATGGTATTGCGCGGTAATCGCTGGCGGTGGTGGTTGGAGGGTTTGTGTCCGAAGATATTTGCAGGGTCATCTAATTGTTGTTCGTTATACTCTTTTTTCGCCGCACTCTTCTGCCCATGTTGAAGTATAGCGATATATGGATTATTCCTTTGCGTTTCACAGTAGTGTGCTGCGATGATGATGTTTGAGTTCCATATATGGACCGAACCGACACTTTGACTGGTAACCTCTGTTTGTTTCCAAAAGTGTCCATAGTCGGCTTTGTAGATTACATTTTAATGCCATGTTTGGTATTCTCTTTGTCATTGCTCATGCATTCGCTGAAAACAAGTGTTTGCTGTTTTGCTGTCCGGGCAAAAACAATCACGTTTAATCAATCCGTGGTCGGGGTGGAAGCATTCTGACGTCTACATTTGCTTTTATGCGTGGATCCCTGATCTTGGAGATGGGGGAACTTCAGATCGGGATGGGATTGCTCTAACACTATTGGAGAACGAGAATAGCTGAGTATGAGAACGGCGGTTGAGACGTTGACTTGTCATGTGCCATTTCTTCAAATGCCAACTTTTCTGATAGAATGCTTATCCAAGTATAAAGCTTGCAGGTGTTTTTCTTTGGAATGCACCATAAGTGCATCTGATGTCACATTCCGAGATGTGAAAGGCTTGGTTGTTTTCCAGTTGGGTGAGATAGTGAGCAAAGTTTTGTGGCCTGCCAGCTGAACGTCGTTTGTTTCGAACGGCAATTGAAAAATCTTAAATATGGAACATTGTTGATATGTATGTCGTTAAATTATGGTTTGCTGCATTTGATGCTTAGTGTTAAGGTCATGTTCACTGAAATCTGCCACGTGTGGAATTGAACCTGGGCCGTTGGCATGTGGTTTTCTTTTTCGTATTTTGTGTTCCTGGACATGTAGGATCGATCACGAGGGATTACACCGGATCCAGGTTACAATCCGGGTCATCGGTCTGGATCCCAGCCACCATCGTCACAGCAGCAGTCTCCAGCTTGGGGCCAGCAGCAACAGCTACCTGGAGTTGCAGCCCCGCCGATGCAGCAACAGGGGCAGCAATATGGTTTTCAGCAACAGGCACAGTACCAGGTCCCCCAACAACAATACGTTATGCAGCAGCAGCAGCAGCCTTATGCGGCTTATGGGCAGCAGCAGCCAATAGTGAGGGGTTATACCCCAGGATGGGATGGGCAACAGCAATTCATTCCACAGCAGCAGGTGCTTCCTCATCAACATCCGCAGCAACAGGTCCAACAGCCGCAGGCACCCCCGTCTCAGCAGTCTGGTGTATACGACTATTATGGTCAGTCACAGCAGCCGGTGGTTGCTCAGGGCACTCAGCCGGTTGGTCAGGACTTGTCGCAGCCAGTCCATCAGCAGATGCACCACCAAGTTCCCCCTCAGGTTTCCCCACAGCTCCCTGTGGCATCCCAGGGACCTCAACAGGGGCCCCAGCAGATAGCAGGTCAAAATGCCATACAAACCCCTGCCCCTCCTTCCGATGGAAGTTACATGTATGCGCAGCCGCAGGCAGGTTACTATCAATATCAACACTCTGGTACTCCGCAGGTGGCCCAAGGTGGTTATGGGCAGCAGAGTTATGCGCCTGCTCAGCAGCAGTCGTACGCCCAGCCACAGCAGCAGGCTTACGGGCAACACGCTCATCAGGCATACTCGCAGACACCACAGGCACCGTATGTGCAAACACAGCCACAGGTATACTCTCAACAGCAGACACAGCCACAGCAGCACCAGCAACAGCCGGCGGCATACGTAGCGCCACCGCAGCAAACCTATCCTCAGCAGCAGCAACAACCGCAGCAGCCTCCTTCGGCACAGCAGCCTCAATCGTATGGAGCCAACAGCTACACGCAAGATCAGAGCAATTATTATTCTGCTTCATCGTATGCAGCACCAGCTGATGCCAGTACTCACACGGGATATGACTACAGTCAGTCCATGCCCTCGAGCACGGTTGCAACACCAGTCGTCGCAGCTCAACAGCCTGCCGTTGAGCCTGCCCAATGAGATTGATCGATGTTTTTTTTTGTCTGTTTGTTTTCTCTCTGGTCTACTTCCGGAGTGGAAGAGATCCTCGAGGTGTATGTGCTATGGCTTGGACACCGTTGCAGCAGCGGGCAAAGTGCTGTGAATTCCATTTTTGGGGAAACTCTAGCTGTGATAATGCATGGTATCCCCCCCCTCCCCCCCGGTTCTCTGACAAGGAGGGAGGAAGATGTTGTGCACAAAGGGCTCCCTGCTATCTATTCCTGCGCCCCCTACGAACGGTGGATAGGAACATCAGAGGAAGCCGGCAAAGGTGTGCAGAGCTTTTTATGTGTACGGGTGATCTCGAAAATGCCTTCTGTTAGGAGGGGGCGGAGATATTCATCTGCAGTGGCATGCCAGGTGGTGGATCGAGGGCGAGGTAGTGCTTCTCTTCGAGCCAGTCGGTGAGCTATTCGATGAGTTTTGGCGAGTAGATTTGTGAGGTGTACAGGATGTTCTCTGAACGTTGCTTCTTGTGGGCAACATGGAGAAGTGCTGGATTTAGCACATGTGTGCACAGGTGTCGTTAAACGGAGTTGGAGGCTTGGAGGGAGAGTCTTGTAGTTGCACATGTGAGGTCTGGCATTGTCCATGGGCTGTGAAGTTGTGCGCAAGCAACATAATCTCGGTAATCGGGCTGTTGAGGCTGTAATCGGAAGTTTCAATTTATTCCCATGTGAGTTGGAGTATACGTGGAGAGGATCTCTTCTTGATCACACTGATTGCTGTTTAATCCCAGGGCACGGTGGTTAGGGAAAATAGTTAATTGATTGAATAATGCTAAAGCCACTGTTCAGATGGAATACGGTTGCACAGTTGGAAGGGCCAAGCAGCCTGTAGGTAGTAGTTCAGGCGTGGTCATTGTTTCTTCCAATAACGACCAAAAAAAAATGCATTTTCCAACCACTTGGGATATGTTTGTGACTCGACCTCTCCCCTCACCTGTGTTTTCTATCTGTGCTATGATGTGATTTACTTTCACCCCAAGGCGTTGTGAGGCTGCGGGTGCAGGATGCTGGACATCATCTGGTGCTAATCTGTTTGGACAGCGTTTGTACTCCTGACAGGTGGTTGGATGAACCTCTGCGATGTTGTGATAAGTGCTACGTATAGGAATGTCGAGAAGAAGTTTCTGCTCTCTGAGTACAAGAGCCAGGGTGGGTCTCTAATACAATGGGAGGGAAGTACAATACAAGGTGGGTCTAACAGTTTTGGAGGGAAGTGCGGTTTCTGTGCTGTATCAAGTCTATGGTAAGAACCATTTTTCGATGTTATCATATAGTTATAATACCGTAATATATTTTGACATGTATTTCGCTAAACCCATGGATGACATGATATGTCAAAGTGCCTGGTGAGGAGACTGGAAGTTAGGATTGTAGTATATCGTGTTGTGGTGTGGTATGTGGGCTATACCAATGATAACCTGTTTTTGGAGGACGGTGTGCTCACATAGAATGGCTTTGTGAAATGTTGGAAGTCAATTTTCTTGAATGGTCATGTGATCTGAAGGTATTGTATTGTAGTATGCCTTACTGTGCCACCGTTTTACACCCCCAATGGTAACATGTTACGTTGGGAGATGGTGATTGATGCTCTTAAACCACCAGTACATGGCGGTTGTTAAGGCCCGTGGCTCAGCCTACCGGGATCCCGAATCTTGCTGAGCCTCTAGTTACTGGTAGGTACACATCGAAAGAAAATCGACATTCATCTGCCCCCCCCTCCAAAAAATGGAAAACAAAGATGCCCGTTTTGGCTCGAGTGGATGTTACGTTGGGAGATGGTGATTGAGGGCCGCCGATTTTGATGCTGCACTCCCCCCAACGCGCCGTATCTCTCTCTCTCTCTCTCTCTCTCTCTCTCTCTCTCTCGTTCCCCCGCCGCAGCTCTCGTTTGCAAAACGGGAAAGAATCTTCCCACCCTTCCAGGAAGATTCATTACCGTTTTGCAAATTATGACTGCCTTTGCGCAGTCTAAATTTGCAAAACGGGAATGAATCTTATCGCAAACATGGGAAGATTCTTTCCCGTTTTGTAAAGAACCAGGCTCTCTCTCTCACGCACACACACACACAGACACACTCTTCCCCCGCACTGTGCAGTTCATGTGTGTAAAATGGGAATGAATCTTCCCACAAACGTGGGAAGATTGGTTCCCGTTTTGCACATATGAGCTGCGCGGTGTTGTTGAGGTGGGGGAGAGAGAGAGAGAGAGAGAGAGAGAGAGGGCCGCCGATTTTGACGCGGCACTCCCTGCAACACGCCGTCTCTCTCTCTCTCTCTGTCTCACACACACACACACACTCCCCCGCACAGTGCAGTTCATGTGTACAAAACGGGAATGAATCTTCCTGCAAACGTGGGAAGATTCGATCCCGTTTTGCACGTATGGCCGTGCCCTCTCTCTCTCTCTCTCTCTCTCTCTCTCTCTCTCTCTCTCTTTCTTTCTTCCCCCTCCCTCCCTGCGGCCCCCGTTTTTCCCGTTCGTTTTTGTTCTTTTTTCCCCCTCGACTTCTGTTTTTCTTCTTGGTAACGGTCGTTCAGTGCCCGGCCTCCGTCCGACGCGGCGCGTTAACGGCCACGTCTCTCAAAAGATAGCTGGGCGAGGTACTGGTCGTTGAAACCACCAGTACACCTGCACCTAAAATCCCGAAGCTACTTGACCTATTAAGTTATATTCGCCGTGGTCCCGACTTGCTCGAACCGACGAAGTGTTTTAGTCTGTCGTGTTTACCATTTTCACCAAGCGAGTATGCTCACTATCGGACTTGAACCGATAACCCGTAGGAACAGACGTCATGGAGGCCATGCTCAAATGATCACTATCTGACCACTATTACGGGGAGAGGGAAACGTTGCTGTTTTTTCGTTTTTTCTCCTTTTGTTCTTTTCTTCGTTTCCCTGCAAGCAATGCAGTGCATATTCCTTGTGCTCGAAACGCCCTCGCCGAGGGCATACTCACACTAGCGCCGTTGAAATGCATCCAACCACTTTCACGGCCAAAGCTTTGTTGGCCTTCTTTGTTGTTGTTCTTTTTTTGTCTGACGGTCGTGCTCTCCGTGTTCTATGTTCTGCCTAAGTGCCCTAACTCAGGGAGGGAGTACTCCAAAAAGTGTATCCAACTGCAATCACGGCCAAAGCTTGTCTTGTTTTTTTGGGAGTGCGGATTTGACGGGGCCCAAAATTCAAAAACCTTTTGATGGGCCGACCCTGCCCCGAGTTCGTCTTCTACTTCTTGTGGCGACAAGTTATTTTGCCGCGAGGCTGAGGTCGTGTAGTGGTGGTTTAAACCACCAGTATTTGGCCCAGCTGTCGATGCCGTGTACTGATGGTTTAAACCACCAGTACTTGGCTCAACTATCGATGCGGAGCCTGAATATGCCCTGCGCACTGTGTGCTGGTGGTTTAAACCACCAGTACTTGTTCCAGGTATCGATGCGACCCCTGAATATGACGTGCGGATTTGACATGGGCCCGAAAATTCAACGGCCTCCTGATGGTCCGTCCCTGCCCCGAGCTCGCCTTTTACTTCTTGTGGCTACAAGTTATTTTGCTTTAAGGCTGAGGATGTGTACTGGTGGGTTGAACGACCAGTACGTGGCCCAGCTATCGATGCCGAGCCTGAGTATGCCCTGCGCATCGTTTTGCTCCAACACGCCAGCGAAACAAAACAAAATTGCTTTGGCTTGCGGCTTCAGCCTTCGAGGTCCGGTACCCTGGGCCTCGTCGTTAATGACAACGCCCTGTGGCCGACATATGGGCCAAGTACTGATGGCTTAAACCACTAGTACCTTTGCCACTTTGGAAAATAGCTGTCCTCGGGTGGGTGTCCGACCTTTTTGGAGGCCAAAAGCAAATGATGGCCGCCGTGGATGGGCCTGGCCTCCAGTCTTAGGAGTTAGGGAAAACTGCCACTTTTCCCCATTTTGCCAATGCTGGCGGAGGTACTAGGTAGTTTAATGCTCTCAAAGAGGGAGGGATCTTGATTGTTTTTTCTACCTTCCGTAACTGGTTTGGTGCAAGTGATGGTGGAGCATGGAATCCCACGGTTCATGAGCCATGTTGTGGGATGAACGTATGCCAATACGGCTGGTTAATTGGGTGCTATTTTGTTTGGTCACTGAACCTATTTATTGGCCAGTGCCTCACTCTAGCTGAGAATGCAGTAGCGGCTTTCATTGTGCGTTCCTTTGAGGGGTCACGAGACGAAGTTGAAGGCGCAGGTCAGGGCTGTATCGGATTCTAAACTCCATACGCTTTTTTTCTGGATTTATGCGTGTCGAGGGTTCATTGACTCGTATGAAGCGTGTATCGGAATTCTAAACTCGGTACGCCTTTTTTCCTGATTTATGCGCGTTATCCATGTGCAGGTGCGATGCACTGTATTGTTCAAAATTTAGTGGATGTCTCAAAGGAGAACTCTGGACACCTTTATTCCGGAATGAAGTTTTGAGGAGAAGAAGGAACATAGGTTCACGCTCCTACTCTAGACAGGTTGAGAAAAAAATAAATAAAAAATGAGAACAGTCTTACAGCGGTCATAGATGTGGAAAGCTGAAAATCCTTGCCTCGTTTAACATAATCTAAAACGTAGACCCCGGGAAGTTCGACATCACTACCCGGGCAGCTGAACTTCTGGTTTGATCGCCTCTACTCGAGGTGGACTCTAGGAAGGTGGAGGCTGTTTGGAAAGCATCCCTGAGGCTCCTTGAAAATAGTTCTTTTGCAGATGGGGGAACCAAGAAAGTCGGGAGCGGTTTTCCCTGTCTGACATGGAAGGATTCATGTGCTGCTGCAAAAACTAATATATACCTATGTTCTATATTTGAATGACCTGTGGAAACCCGATTTTCAGAAGTTTTTTTTTTTTTTTTTTTTTTTTTTTTCCGGAGTAGAACGCCCGGCTGAATATAACGTGCTTATGTTGTATTGGAACTCAACGCATGTATGTTCTATTCGAACTTCTTCAATTTTGATTTTGCTGCTTTCAGAAGCAGAAAAATCCGAAAAAACAAGTGCACAATATTGCAATATGAACAACCCTGCTCGAGGGATGGGGTGGATGGTTGACCTCCCTCAAGCCGGCAAGAGAGCCACGGCAAGAGAGATGGAGGGAGACTCAGAGGGGAGAAAGAGAATGGTCTGTCCTTCGCTAACAGCACGCTAATCAGCACCATTGGTGGGCGTCAGAGGTCATCCAAAATGACTGCCCTGGTGGAGTCCCTCCGTCAGGCCTGCCACTTTTGACGATCTTCCAGATTTGTTCTCTGTTCTTACCTCCTTGCTCGGTTTGACGGTCAAGTAGGGAAATCTGCTTGATCGTTTTTATTGCCATCGTAATTAGGGTTGTTTGGTGTTAAGCGCCAGATCTGGATTAGGCAGTCTTTTTTGTTAATTTGGCTCTGCGATCGTTCGAGCTTCGCATGGCGCTTTTTGCTTACCTTTGCGGGGTTCTCGTTGTTTCACTCTTAAGAGTTTCGTATTGATATACGCGCTCTGCTATGGTGTGGGCAAGGACTGGGCTTGACAGGAGTGGCTTTGCTCATCCCGATGACTGCAGTCGATGATGTAATCGATGCTTGGCCTGTTTCCTACCACATATTGAGTTCGATTTTTTAATCTAAAAAAAAAGAAAAATAACAGCAGAAGGTTTAGAAACTGGGAATGAGAGTCCAAATTTATTTTTAGGGCGGGGACGTTCTGTTATAAGATTTTTTTCCGGTCGAATTGTTGAGAAGACTGAAAAACAAATCTGGGGGAAAAAGTAATTGTTGCAGTACAAACAACTTTTGCCTGAGCGTCTTCCTGAAACTACCAAGCAAATAAGGTTCTCGGGTGGTTGGTGATTGCTCCACGGGGATGGTAGGTAATACACCAGTCCTAGAACGTTGTTTTTGGTCTAAGCTGGAATGACGGCGGTGTAATGATCGTGTGGGGGCGATGGGTGGCGCTGGCTGCGAAGGGGAGGGGAGGGCTAATTCTGTAGCTATGGCTGATCTTGGCTGACATGAAAGTGCGGGGGCGATGGGTGGGGCTGTAGCTATGGCTGATTCTGGCTGACATGTAAGCTGACATATGTCAGGAATTCCTTCTGCATGTCGATGGATGGGGAGTGTGACGTATGTGGGGTCAGGCGTATGTGTTAGATTTGGGGGCCCGCAAAATATATTTTCTGAAAACATGGGGCCCGATCAGAGGGTGCAATGCCCCTAGTCATCGATACAGAGCCTGGGTTGAGTCTTCCTATGCAGGTGAAAGATGTTTTGAGGAAAAACTCTTCAGATTGAAGTGGTGTTATCATGGGGCCCGATTTGAGGCCCGATCATGGGCCCCGGTTTGAGGAAAAGCTTCTTNCTC